GAGAACCAATAAATATATATAAATATATAGAATTTAATAATATTAAAAATAAAAAAGTAAAAATAAAAAAGAAAAAAATCTTTAATTATACTGTACTGTTGTATTATTTATATGTACACATATTATATCTTTATTTTACTGGCGTTGGATCTTTTTTTTTAACGGAATATAGAGCAATAAAATTCAATTATTAAAAAAAAAGTCTAAATAACTTTAAGATAAATTAACTGAATTCTTACAATTATTATTAAATCGTGAAACACAAATTCAAATAACTTTAAGCCAAGTTGTGATATATATTCAAATCTGTATATCTGATTGGATAGCGTGTGATTTACTTATAGTAGCACCGCACATGATTATATAGAGGGGCATGCCCCGAGCACAATAAGAAGGGGCATGCCCAAATAATTTCATGTGCCCCCTACCCTAATCTACAGAAAAAAAAATACAGAACATTCGTTTTTTACTATTCCGGGCCATCCGAACGATTTGTGGTTGGCTTTCTTCTTTTTTAACCCATTGTTTATTATTTTGTTTGTTAGATATGGTAAAGTAATGAATCCAAGTTTCATCACCAGTAATTACATTCCTATAACCATTCTGCATCATTTTCAAAAGCTTTCAGGAAATATCGACACGTTTCTTCTTGTTCTTATTGGAGAGAGTATGCGGAACCCACTTTGCACACACCTTGCGCATGCCCAATTTATTAGTAAGTATATTAGTAATCTGGGCTTGGGAGATGCCAACGATGTCAGACAATTCTCTGGTAGTGGAGTGAGGGTCCTCAATTACCAAATTTTCAACTTTGGCAATCGTTTCTTGAGTGGTTGCTTGGTGGGAACGTCCAGGACAAGGCTTGTCTTCAACGGATTCATCTTCGTTATTGAATGCTGAAACCCAGCATTCAATTGTACGTTTTGATAGTGTATGACTTCCTTCAGCAGCACCCAATTCAGCATGAACCTCAGGTACACTTACACCATTCTTCCAGCGAACATAAGTGTAGTAATGCTGGTTTTGGCGGCTCATTTTCTCGCAATTGTTTTAATATAAAATTTCAAAAAAAAAATTTTCACCGATTTTTATATCAATGCAGATCTAATTTTTTTACAAATCGATTATATTACACAATACTTATAATACGTAATTTTTTTTTTGGCTAAACCTTGATCAATATGCAGGTACGACCTCGATAACAAGACTTATGAATCAATCTACGTACAGATTTTTTGCCGAAAATTGTGTGCGCGCATAGTATTTTTGGCTAACAAAGACTGCAGAATAGGAGGTGTTGGTGCTACTGGTTGCAAATGCACCTTACCCTTTGCACAACATGTACTAAAGACTGGTTTTTTTAATGTTCCAGAAACCTTTTCATCTTTCCAGTGCAAAGTGCTACAGTATATGCACTCAATATTTATATAACCCAAATCATATATATTAACAGTAGTGCTATCATATTGTTTCATATGGGCTGTATTGGAAGCATGGTGGTTTACTTTTAGACGCTTTGCTCTTCTGTTTTCTGCACTTTCTGTAGTTTCAGATGTTAGTCGTTGTGCATAGTTAGCTCGATTTTGTGTGCGTCAGTATAAGATTTGCTGTTTGCTAAGAGTTGTTTTACGGCGTGCATATGTCTCTCTTTCAAGCTGGTTTTTGCGTTCACGTGTACTTTCAGAATTCTCAATTACTGGAGAGTTGATTTCGTGGGCTATTTTTTTAGCATAACTTTCTTTAGCTAGACGATTATAACATTCTCTTGCCATTTCAAATGTTTTTAAAGTAGAGTTATTTGGTTCAAAGTTCATTTGTTCGACAGACACATTATTAGCTATTTCTCTTTCCGTTAACTCAAAAGACATATTATCAGTTGTTTCCTTTTCGGTTAACTCAAACGACATATTATTAGTAAAGTCAAGTGACATAGTGATAGAATTTATTTCATTCATTTCAAAAGCCATATTTACAAATTAGAAAAGTTTAATGTAGTTAAAAAAAAAAAGAATATAACAAAAAGAAAAAAAAAGATAGAAAAAAAATTGCAAAATAAAGGTGTGAAAGAGAGTAAGAGAAAGATTACACATGAGCAAAACAAATTATTTATATGTTTAAGAGGAGCGGAGTTTCGCATA